GCGGGAGCGCCGCCGCGCTTCCCAAGCGGCGCACTTATCCAGTGCGCCACCGGTCCGGCCCATTTCTTTTTTTTTTTTTTGGTTGGCTGGTAAGGGAATCCAAACCCTTGACCTTGGTGTTATAACACTGCACTATAACCAACTAAGCTAGCTGGCCAGCCTGGATGAAAAATTTCTTGAAAGACACAAATTATCAAAGCTCAGTAAAGAAAAAAAATAGATGACCTGATTATTATCTGTTAAAGAACTGAATTTGGAGTTAAAAACCTTCCCATAAAGAAGGCTTCAGGCCAGGATGACCTCACTAGTGAATTCTACCAAATATTTAAGGCAGAAATAATACCAATTGTATAGAATCTTTTATCAGCACCGCACTCTACCTTTTTTTTTCTCTTTCTTTCTTTCTTTTTTTTTTTTTTTAAAAAAAGATGACTGGTAAGGGGATCTCAACCTTTGGCTTGGTGTTGTCAGCACAACACTCAACCAGTGAGCAAACCGGCTATCCCTATATAGAATCCGAACCCATGGCCTTGGTGTTATCAGCACCGCACTCTACCAAGTGAGCCACGGGCCGGCCTTAGAATCTTTTAGAATATTATAGAACTACAGTAGTAATTCTTCGTAACTTGTGATTTCTTCTGAACTTACTCTACTTTGTTTGCTTTTAATATTAACCAGTCCAGCTTTCTTTTGGTTAGTGTATATCTTTCTTCTATTTGTGTCTGTATTTCAAGTGGATATCTTATATCATATGGTTACTTTTTTATCTACTCTGAAAATCTCTGCCTTTTAATTGGGGTGTTTGGGCCATTTAAATTTAATATAATTATTGATATGGTTTAGTTTAAACCAACTATCTTGCTAATTACTATTTTTCCCATCTGTTCTTTGCTTCCCTTTTTTCTTTCTGGTTTCTTTTGGGCAAATTGAATGTTTTTTTTTTTTTTTTTTTTTTTTTTTTTAAAGATGACCGGTAAGGGGATGTTAACCCTTGACTTTGGTGTTGTCAGCACCACACTCACCCAGTGAGCTAACCGGCCATCCCTATATGGGATCCGAACCCATGGCCTTGGTGTTATCAGCACCGCACTCTCCCGAGTGAGCCACAGGCCGGCCCCCAAATTGAATGTTTTTATGATTCCATTTACCTCTTTTGTTGGTTTATTAGCTACAGTTCTTTTTCTGGGTTAGGATTTGTTTTATATATCCTTGACTTATCAGTGTAGCTTCAATTAATATTATATCATTTTATGTATGCTTCAATTAATATTATATCATTTTATGTATACTCATAACAGTATGCTTTCATTTTTTTCTCTTCCTGCTTTTGGGCTATTGTTATCATACATTTTACTTCTACATATGTCAGAAACCCCACAGTACATTATTATTACTTTTGCTTTAAACAGTCTCTTTTGAAGACATTTAAAAAACAAAAAGTACTTTATATCCATATATTTACTATTGGGGCTCTTTATCCGTTTGTATTGATCTAGATTTTTATTTGATATCATTTCCTCTGCCTGAAGGACTTTCTTTTACATTTCTTGTAGTACATGTCTGCTGGAGATCAATTCTTTTAGTTTTTTTTTTTTGATTGAAATATAATTCACATACTATACAATCCACCATCTTAAAGTGTACACTTCAGTAGTTTTTAGTATACTCACATGGTTGTGTAACCATTGCTATGCTGTAATTCCAGTGCATTTCATCACCCCAAAAGAAACCCCTTACCCATTAGTAATCCCTCTCCCTAGACTCGGAGAACCACTAGCCTACTTCCTGTCTCTATGGTTTTGCCTTTTTTGGATATTTCATATAGATTAAATCATATAATATATGACCTTTTGCGTCTGGCTTTCACTTACCATAATGATTTTAAGGTTTATCCATTTTGTAGCATGTATCAGTACATCTTTTTTAATAGTTTTTCATTGCATGGATAAGCAATATTTTGTTTATTTGTTTATTAATTGATGGACATTTGGGTTGTTTCCACATTTTGGCTCTTATAAATCTGCTGTGAACATGTGTGTACAAGTTTTTGTGCGAGCGTATGTTCTCAGTCCTCTTGGGTATATACCTAGGGGTGGAGTTGCTAAATCATTTGTAATCCTATGTTTCACTTTTTGAGGAACTGCCTGACTGTTTTCCACAGTAGCTGCATCATTTTACATTCTAGCCACCACTTTATGAGGAATCTACTTTCTCATCCCCTTTAACACTCGTTATTTTCTATTTTATTTATTATATATATTCCTAGTGGGTGTGAAGTGGTATATATATTTTATTTATTATATATATTCCTAGTGGGTGTGAAGTGGTATATTATTATGGTTTTGATTTGCGTTTCCCTAATGATTAATGATATTGAGCATCTTTTCATATACTTACTGGCCATTTTATAGGGTTTATTTTATCCATCTTTAACATCCATGTTTTCTCTTCTTTGGGGGATGCTCATTTAAATTCTTTGCCCATTTTATTTTTTTATTTAGTTTTTTTTTCCTTTGCATATTTAAAAATTGCCTATTATTTGTCTTTTTGTTGTTGAGTTTTTTTTAATATGATGTATTAAATTGATTGATCTTCATGTATTGAAACAATCTTTTATTCCTGGGATAAATTCCACTTTTGTTATGGTGTATAATCCTTTTAATATGCTGCTGGATTTAGTTTGCTAGTGTTTTGTCAAGAAGTTTTGTATCTATATTCATATGGGATATTGATCTGTAGCTTTTCCCTTGTGATGTCTTTTTCTGGTTTTGGTGTCAAAGTAATACTGGCTTTATAAAATGAGTTGGGAAGTAT